CCCACAATGGCTTCGCAAGCCATGGAAAAAAGGGGGAGATGGGTGCTAGCTAGAGCCATAGGTAGGCAACTCAAATATAAGATGAGGATCTGGAATTCTGCAGCAAGCAGTAAAAGAAGAAAACAGAAAAGCTCTCTCATCTGATCTGCCTTGGTTAAAACCCAGATATATGCTGGAAGTTGAATCAGAAGCACTTCTCCATCTGTCTTTTTTAGGTTTTATACTGCTCCCCATCTCTGTAGGACCTGAGCACCCAGAGTATAAAGTCAATAGCAATTGTTTCTCTGCCAAGCAGCAGTATTTCCAGAAACGTATCCCTTTCCCTGTTGTTCCAGTAGGCGAGAGCCACGGGAATGAATTCTCCTATGGGCAGTCCCTGGGTTTTTGCTGAGCAGAAAAAACCCAAGACGTCAGGCACAAATGACTTATTCTTTGCTCACTCCCTATCTTTGGCAGCCCACCTACGCATCCTGTGCAAGCACTGCTGTAGAGTATTTTCTCTTTTTTCACAAAAGGCTGACCAATGCAGATAACTCTGGATTTGGGGGTTAGCGAGTTACGATCTTGACTTAGGTAGTCATGGGGCAAAGCACTCTGTTAAGGAGACATTTGCTGAAGCAACAGGTAATCCTTTGAGATGAAAAATGCTATGCAATTTTATGCAAATGTTATCTTATGTGAGACACAGTTATATTGTATCTAGTTAGCCAACTGAGCATTGAAGAACATTGCCTGTAATTGCTGAATTTAACACACGCACAAACATATATATAAAACATACTATATTCATTGGTCCTAAGAACTTCTAGAGACATTTCAGTGCTTTTCTTGCACAATGAAGCAATGTGATATCATTTATTTAATTGCTGCTGCATATTGGTCAATCTTACTGCATTGCTATAACGTCAGTCAGACTAGACGACAATTTGGGTAATGAATGGGGAAAAAAACCTCACAGCAATACGTTCTGAGAGAAAGTCAGACATATGATGACTATTTCCTAGAACAAGAGCAGATTATCAGCATGAAGAGCTAGAATATCAGATTTAGGAAAAAGGTATGTGAAATAATTGTTGTTATGCATGGTTTGGTGGAAGGCTATCTAACTAATCCTCTCATAAGAAAAATTGCAAACAAAGTGCTTGATGCTTCCTGTGGGTTGAAAGTTTCATTCCCCTTACTTGTTACTTGTGCCATAAGGATGCTACTGTTTTGTTCTGTAAACTGCAAGAGCATATAGTATAAAGAATAAAGTTTTCAACTACTGGAATCAAATTGTCGCTTAAAGTCAAATGAGCACACCACATCTTGGAGTGCCTTTCATCAAAGCAGGTCAGTTAACTTTAATGAAGTCGTCTTCAATTTGCTTTGATGTAACATCAGAAGCCAGCCCAGATGATTCCAAATGATCAGCAAATAAATTTCCACGTTGCAGTCTTTCAGGGATATAGGCTTTATGAAGTGTCTAGTTTTCTGGATTCGTTAACTTCTAAAGTGCTTAATTTGACTCCCTTTTCATAAGGCCTGCTTGTGTTTGGTTTTTTTTTGGAGGGAACTGCTGACTTTTTTCTGAAACTGAGCCCCCCTTTAAGATGCCGTATATTGGGCAAGTAAAGCAGAGGCATGCAGCATCACTGCTTGCTATTAGTGTCTTCCCAGTCTAAGACTGTACCATGCAGGAAGATCAGGCTGCTGTGGTTTTCCTTTTGGGAGGGGAGAGATTTAGAGTCTCAGACATGTAATTTCTGTAATTACTTAAGCAAGGACTAGTTGCCAGGCCAGGGATGGCAACATTAGGCCCTTCTGTTCGAATTTTTCCAAAGGAAGTAATATTAAATACTAAAGCTAGTCAAAGTGCCAAATAGCCTCTCATCCTAAATTGGGACAAAAGGGACAAATGTTACAATTTCCTTCAAAATGAAGCTCCCTAAAATATTTTCAGAAGTATTTAATGTATATTGAAGTGCTTCATTTAGTAAGGTAAAAGAATTTCTGTTATTTGAAATCAACTGTAACACAACTCTTGAAGAGTTTTAGTCATGTTTCAACAGACTGTGTCGCTCTCCAGTTTTCTTACAGAAAGTTGTTTCATTAGAAAATTCAAATAGTCCTTCTTAAATACTCCAAATATCACGATATACATTTTTTGCTTACAGCTTCTTCCTTTGCATGACCCGCTTGGAGAGATGATTATATCAATTCTTAATTGTGAGCCTCCCTTGTGCTAGTTTCTCCCTGGCCCTGCAGAATGCAGCAGTGTAATACCAGCTGCAGGTTATCACTTGATGCTAACCCAGTTGCTTTATGATGATTGCTGCAAGCAAGAATGGAAGGTTCTCAGACATTTTTGAAGCAGTTTTAGTGGAAGAAAGATTTATAAGGTACATTTCTACAAAGAAAGAAATTTCTACAAAGAAGTGTGAGCAATAGAGTGGTTTGTGATGCATGAAGTAAATTTGTTCGGTTTTTAGGGACAAGAATACGGTTTTTCAAGAGATCACGGTGGACTAATGTTAGTCATTCAGAGTAGGAACTGGCGGTGTGTTTGTACATCAATAGCAAACTGTAGGCATCCTGATATTTGTAATAAGATAGAACCAGTCAGGACTGCACTAGAGAAGGGCAACCAGTGTCGTAAGTCCTGTCCAGACTCAGCACGCTCAGTTGTGTCTCTTAGTAAGCAGCAATTCAACAGTGTGACTGACTGAAGAAGACAGCTGGCTACTGATACCACGTTCCCTTGCCTTGAGCATACCTTTCATTTTTCCTAGCATTTTGTTTCACTTACAGCTTTGAAGAAGTTCATTATTGATTAAGCATCAGTATCAATCCCAGTAGGTCAGTGTTTTGTGTCCCAGTAATACAATACCCTAGAAAAAGATGCTGTTTTGAAGCTTCATGTTTCTACTTTCCCCTGATGGGTGTGTGGCCTGTGGGGTTTCTGCTCGTGTCTCTGTTCGACCTCCCTTGCTAGTGAGACCTGGAGCTCTCCTCCCACACACACCCCTATAATGAGACCACGGCTGCACGAGCCTCTTGTTTTCCCTTCTTTTCAACAACTCACTAGGCTGGAATGCTTGGAGCTGTCTGAATTTTTCAAAAGCTTGGCCATGCCAAGAATGTTTTTCTATAGGGTGCCCTTTTTTTCTTCTTCTGCCCTCCTTCCTCCTGCTAAGACTCATGATTCACTCTGAGACAGTTGAGCATTTCAGTGCATGATGATGAGGAACACGAAGAAGACATCAAAGACACAAACACAAACGAGGTCCGTCCTGACTTGGGATCACTGATTGCAGTAGGAGGTGTGTATTTTTGTAAGCAATGTCTGAAATTCAGTACCAAAATTCCCGAGTACTGCAGGTACTCAGTCCTTTTATATTCAGACAGACTATTTGTAGTGTTGCACTTAACCTTAGCACAGGATTTTCTCATAAGCACCTACAGTAGAAAATGCTAACTTTTTCAGACCACTAATGAACCACTGTCTCCCTGTTCTGTCCTATAATTAAGCAGAGATGATGATGGAGCTATAACAAGTGAGGACAGTGTTAACAATGAAGTGCAAGAGAAATTCCTGCATGAGGGGCTAAACTGTCCCAGACCTTATTGTGACTTGGAGAAGCCAGTCCCAGCTTTTGTACTGCCTTGCATGTCTGTTACTAGCAAATGTTGACTGTTTCTTTCTGTCTTTCTCTTTAATTGTTTAGTTGAAATAATGACATTTTCCTCTTGAAAAAGTCTTAATTTGAAAAATGTTGAGCAGGTCAAACTAATTATTTTGCTCTGCATTGTAAATGATTTGGAGGATATTTGCACATTTCTGTATGGTATCCCCAAGACTATTATAAATAACTTTTTCTCTTATAATGACTTGTCGATAGTGAGACTTTTGGAAAGAAAAGCTTTGATATTAAACACAGGATATTTGAAGAGCTTATTTATGAGAATTCAGCACCAAGTTAAATGCCTGTTGCCATGGAAGAGGTTCTTGGCAATGTGATCATATGGGCATTTTTTACGTGGGTTTAGTTTTGTTTTACATGTGTTTTTGAGTTGACCAGTAATATACCGGTGAATGAAACTTATAAATGCATTGTTGACTGGCTAATATCTCAGCACTAACCAAGTGGAGCTAATCGTTTTAGTTCAAGTGTGTCCAAACTTTCTGATCCTATAAGCTGTATAGAGCTGAGTATCTTAGATAATACGCATATTTCATTCATCAGAGATCTGAGGGACAGAGGAAATCTGGAGTAATTCCCAGGTGAGAGGTGCTGTCAGCTCCCTGACAGTTTTAGCACATCTTTGTGGGAACAGGCTGGGCAAGGTGTGCAGTTAAGCCCAAATGACCCATCTATTGACTCGCATAGTGAAATTAGATTTACCCGGTATTTCCCACCCAGCAGCAGCTGGTGACCAGTTGCATAGCTGTATTCCCAGCATGGGAACGGAATCTGAACCATTCAAGAGCTGCAGGTGGTCTTAGAGCCGCAGAGCAGGTACCTCAGCTCCATCACTTATTCCAGAACTGACGTTAATATGGAGTTAAACTGGCAGATCTACATATGGTAGAAATTCAACATATCTCCCTTACAGTGAATGGATCTGTAATGGGCTGTACTGGGAGAGGGCCTGGCCTCCAATTCTTATGAGGAAAATTTATCTTAATTATCTTAAGGATAATTAGGCATTTTGGAATGTTTGGAAACAAGATTCCTGTTTCCAGGGATTTATACAGGAAAAAGGAGAAATCGTGAAAGCTGCTAATTGATTCTTTATAGTTTGCTCATTAATAGTTATGCACTGATACTACGAGATGTGTTGATATGGACTCTAGTTTGAAAAGCTGAAGATAATTTCCACAGAGCCATGGGGGTTCAGAGCTGAGTTTCATGGGAGTTCAGATCTTGTTTATCTAAAAACATTCTGTGGTCACAGAAGAAGTTAGATCCGTTTTCTTTGTATTAATAATTGATTTTTTTTTTGTCTTTTTCATTTAGGTCTCGCAAAGCCCATGGGATTAGTTGAAGGTCCAGGAGGCTTGGGCCAGGGGGGAATGGCTGCTACCCTGAGAGATGATAGCCATGAATCAGAGACTAAGTATGAAGAGTATGGTTACAATGCCCAACTCAGTGACAGGATATCACTGGACAGGTCCATCCCTGACTACAGACCAAAAAAGTAAGTTGAATTCCACATTATTATTAAATTTGATTGATTGTTGTTCTGTTGATCCATGGTGGCATTCTTCTCTTCACATCCCTTCCTGGTTAGAGTATGGCAGCAGTTAGTCACACATATACCCCTGAGTTTAGTGAAAATTAAAAAGACCGACTGCCATCTCAAGCATGAAGTGCCGTGTTAAATGCATAGCTAATTCTGTGAGTAATGCATTAATATTCAAGGCCTCAGATCAAAAACTACATCACGATATTGGTGCTTATTGGGTTTGGTTCACTTGGAAAAAGCCAGGTAGTGCCAACTGAGCCCACCATCAGAGGTGGGAGCCTTAGTCTGTGCTTCTCGTAGTCATGTGCAATGGAAGGTGGGGCAGTGACAACAAACACTTTGTAGACACTGGTCACTTAAAAAAACCAACCCATCAAATCAACTGCCTTTTCTTTAATTGCATTTTATACTCTTAGAATTGTTTAGTCAGGGTTTACAATGTGCTAAAATAGGAACTAAATGTAATCCATTGGGGTCCTATAATTGCAATGAGATTTTTTTTGTCTTTGGAATGTGTGTTTATTTTTATTCTAGTGTTACATGCCTGTGCTATGTTTGACATTGCAATTATATGTCTAATATTTATACTGATTTATTATATTTTGTATTAAATGTCTTTAAAATCTTCCGTATTTATGGAGTTATGTATCTTCCAGATGAGACATCCGCACTGTCATTGTACGAATGACAATCAGTAATGTCTTAATGCAGAGGAGATCAGCAGTAATGCCTAGTTACTCTCAGGAGACAGAATTGAAAAGAATACTTAATTAATTTCTAATAATAATCTTCTGTTTTAAAAGACCCACTGGGGCTCCTAGGCAGAACTGAAAGTTAAATAAAAAAGTATCGTATTAAGTGACGAGAAAAGTTTAGCCAAGCAAAACAGCTGTGCTCTGTGAGTAGATTGCAATTGAATTAGGATTTTAGGCAGTTCAAGCTGCCAAAAACAAAATCCAGCAAAACAAAACTTCAGCTTAACTACAAATTTCATTAATTGTGTTACATATTAATCTAATCGCAGAAGTATTGACTCAGCATTTGTTGTCTCGGACACTTGCTATACAAAAGAAAACCTAGATAAAAGAAGTGGCAAAGAGAAAAAAATCTACTGCTTTGATATCACAGTGGTCTTATCTCTCCATCTTTCTTAATGTATCATAAAAATCCATCATGGAATTTTTCTGGGGAAAAAATAGTCCGTAGTTATGCAAATATTTGACTTGTGCATCAGATCTGGTCCAAAGACTCTTAAAATCAGTGTGAAGTTTTTCAAATGAAAATCAGTGAGGTTTGACCTGGCCTGTTATTAGCTGCTGCGGTCAGGTGGATAATAAATGAGAATGCTCTACTAAAACCAGGACAGAAATACAAAAGCGATGGTTGCAGAGCTTGAATCTATCTCAGCAGCTGTCAGAAGCATGACAGCATTTGCAATGCAGTGATACTTCACTTCAGATTATACTCTTCCACAGTTTTACTTGGGAGCTTTGATGAGTCGTTCAGATAAGCTTTTTGATGTGCTCATTTTGGGAATCTCGTAAGGCCATGCTGCTTGATTAACTGTCTGACTTACTGGGAGAACTGCCTTCCTTGTGGTGTTTTGACACTTTTGAGGTGGTTCTAGTTAGGTCTAGATGCTAGAATTGAAACACTTGTCTCTAGATGCTTACGAGTCACAGGAAAATCCTTCAGACTGAATTTGCTATGAAAAATGAGTGAAAGTTTAGAGAAGGTGGCAGCTCTTATTCTATGAAGAGTTTTATCCACTTGTATCAAAGGAGCTTTGGCTGCCATTTGATTGCCATTTTCTATTAGAAATTTCTGCTGTCCTCGTGAGCAGCATTTTTTGTCTCTGACCCCTTCAAATGCACAGCTACTCTTATACGGTCTCTCTTGGGAGCTCTCACTCTAACACCGAGAGGCAGTTTTCACTCCCTACCCTATCAACCTCTTCTTATCCACCATGTAGTAGCACATCTGCTTACCTAACGGGTGATAGTTGTGCATCATAGCCATAAGGCAAAGCTGAGCTTGACTTTGTTTGCTCACTGTTTAGACACTTTTCTCTGATTATATATTAGAGGGAACTAAACCTCCAGATCTTTGAAATAGGCTTTGGGAAAACCACTCTTGTTTTGTCCAACTTTGTATGCTGACTTGCCCAATGGTCTCATCTCTCCGTCTCTTGATAATAGCTCTCATTGCTGAGCCCTTCTCAGTCTGCTTGCAATTTATATTCATGTCATTCCCAGAACTTTTCATTTTTAAAAAGGGAGCACTTTTCATTTTTAAATTGAGAAGCAAGGTAGAATTAATGTCCAAGGGCATGTACAAAGTGCATGGCCAGTCTATGAATAAAAACACTTATCTGGATTCACGTTCCCAAAGTATTAAACCATGCTTTCTCCCTGTCCTGGCTTCCATTTAAAGTGTTCAGATCTACGTATTTGCACACACCAGTAGGTATTAAAGATATGAACCAGGAAAATTTATACTCAAGTCTGCATTGCATAGACACAATTTAGGAAAGTAAACATGATTTTGCTATGCAAACGTGGGACTTGTAATATTCAAGACTTAGTCTTCTTTTAGAAGAAGTTTAATCAGAAATATTATCTTTTAGTTCATTTTATCTTTGAATTCCTCCCTTATTGTTGTCCAGTATCTTATTCTGGTAGAATAAGCCTTTTGTGCCATCTACTAGTCTAGCTACAGTAAACATTCAGCAGTTTAATTGCTTTTCAGGAGGTATTTTCATCCCCACAAAGTAAATTAAAAAAGCACGTTACACTAAAGAGGTGTACGGTCAGACAGCGTGACCGTGAAGGCTCCTAAATCGGAGTCACCTCCATGTCCTTCCACTGCGGTAAAGTCTGCAAGCCTGGGTGGGTAGTCGTACTCTCGAGATGCTTCTCCCGTATACTTGCATTGTGTTCTGCTTTCCTACCTGCTGCTGCCAGTGCAGATATTCCTTTTAACTCAGAAGCCTTATCTTTAAGATAGGAATCGCTAAGTCAGTACAGGAGACAACAGCAGATTTTGTGCATGTTGTGTTTGTGTGCCAAATCGAAGCAATGACAGTAAATAGCTTGCTTGCGAATACAGTTCACACAATAATTACAAAATTATAGTTTGATCCTAACATGCTGCAATAAATATGTCTCAGCTTTTTCTTCTCTGATATTGCACCTCCCACAGCTTGAATGCTTGCCCTGTCTCTATGTAGAAAGCAGACAACCCTGGGGAAACAGTTCAAAAACACAGTGTGAATTGGTATTTCAAGCTATGTTTAGTTTCAAGAGACATGTAATATAGAGAAGTTGCAATTTTGTTTTATAAAACAATGCAAAGCCTCCCCAACAGTTTGTAAGTTTATTCAGTGTGACCTTGAACGCTATTGTCATTTCTTGTTGGATTTCACCTACATCAAATGGGCTGATTTTAAAGTTGGGCTGATGATCTTTCCGTAACGTATTATGTAAGTCTTAATGCTGACTTTTTGCCTTGAAGCAGCTGAGTACAGTGCAGCTGAGTGCTCTGAGAAGATGCAAGGACCAAGTAGCGGGAATGAAATGTGTTTGAGTTCAACATTGAGCAGAATACTCAGGATTTATTATGGTTGATTGATGAGTATTTAGAAATGTTCAGCTAATTATCCTAGCATTGAACTGATCTGAGATTTTGCTTCAGGTGCTCAGTGGGAAGTGGTCTGTTAAAATACATGAAAATAACTCTAAAATAGTGGTCTGGTTAGTACTGACTGTTATTAAATATCTAAATTCTGGAGTAAATTTTTTAGTACATATGAAATCTACATTAATGCCAAAAGAATTTTGCAGGATTATTTTTTGTTACAAGGGAATTCATAATGCTTGTGATGGAATTATTTTCATCCCCTGTCATACAGGCACATATCAAGCTTGAAAAACATTTCTCAAGTTGAGGGCAAGCCACAAGAAGAAGGGGCAAGGAAAGTAGCACAGGTCTCTGCATGTCCCTGCTGCGGCCCCATCTTTGCTCCCCGGTGTGCTGAAGTTTTTCAAGGGCTATACCACCGTGGAAAATACGTTGGAGAGAGCTCAGGATGTGTAATGTCCCGATCTCTCTTCCCAGCAGTAAAGTATTAGCAGGACTTTCTAGCCCTCTCTATACTCTATTTCCTCTGAGCAAAGGAAGAAAGAGAAGCTTCTCTTGTAAGGAACAGGTTATTTTTCCCTTGGAAGCACACGGCTAAACTAGAACTTGCTCTGTGGTTCTCTGGGAAAAGTGTTATTTAATGATGAAATGTTATTGGATTAATTTCCATTTATGTTCTTCCATATTCAAAATGGGGTTGTGATCACATGAACCTGAGTACTTAGTGGAGACAAATCCAGTGTTGGCCAATGATTCTTATGTCTATGTGTGGGAAAGCATAAGCACATGTATTTGTATCAATTATCTCTACCAATACGTGTAGATGTAGAATAGCCTTGAATCCTACCTGTGGGAATGCTGTGAAATCTGCTGGGCTGTGTGCATGCCTTTCTTACCACAATATCGAAGGGCCAATATTTGACTGATTAGTCAAAAATAGATTCTGAGCAACACAGCTGAGATTTTGATAGAGATCCCACACTTTCAAACAGAAGTGCCCTGAGTCAGCCACCTAAACCCCTGCGTAGTCATTTGTCTTCAAGTGACTTAATTTGTTGCGGGTACTGAGAGTAGAGAAAGCGCACGGGTTTAGCTGGAACGTGCTGTATTGCTACAACAGGCTTCAGGAACAGCAGCAGCCATCCATCTGCCCTTTTGGGGGAATAACAGCCTTCACTGCTGCCAGCTGTAGCACAAAATATAAGTCTGTGCTCGAGTAACAAAGGATTGTACTCAATTCTTCCCAATCATGCATGAAGACAGAGGTGCTACAGCCCCATATGACAGTAGATTTTGACTTTATCAAAGATGAA